CGGATCCCACATACAGACCGGCCGCTCACTGGCTGAGCGAGGTGCGGGCGCGACACTGAGGGTTGCGATCCGTAGCCGGTCACGAAAAAAGACAAAAAGGAAAAATAAACAAACAAACAAAAAAAAACAAAGACAGTTTTGAGCGTATTATGGAGAAATGAATACAATAAGACAAAAGATACTGACATAGAGTCCCTGACTCCTACATAGTCTCTGATGGGCCTCAAGAGATCTCTGGATCTCTTGAAATTATGAGCAAAATGTTGTGTGTATTGGTACATGGACATTTTCCTGCATTTTTCTGCCACATCTTAGATTCTCAAAAAGTTCAGAATTAAGAGAGCTTAAGAAAGAAATTTAAGCATCTGAGCAACACAAGGAAGGGATTGATAAAAGAGAGGTGAATGTGTTAGGGAATGATTGAAGGCTTTCTATAATTGTCAGATACTACCCATTGGCATCAGCTGGTATGGCTCATCTAGCTATTTAGTAGGAAAGCATATACATACATTCATTGCACATTTGTAGTCATTAAAAATAATCCCACATTTAAAATATAAATGTAAATAAAAATTGAGTTTAATATGCGTATATAATCTTATTTTAAGCCTTCTTAATTAGACTTTGCAATAGCTGCATAATAGATATCTTAAAATTACCTGTTAAATTGTAATGTGAATTTGCAAATAGGCTCATAAAGCCTTGAAAACCTTATGAAGTTCCTTTAAAGCTGAACCACCTTATTAAAACAAGAATAATATCCATAAATATCATAGTTCTTGTGAATTGGCTTTGTTGGTTAAGTGAGCATTGATATTAGATTGTAAATATGCCACAAAATAAATAGAAGAATCTTAACGATTTAGAAATCTGTATTAAATATTAAAATAAAAGCTAAATTCACTTCCTATTGGGAAGTTTTCCTTTTCATTAAAGCTCACAATTGCTTCCCATATGTCAGCGAGAAAAAGCCTGAAAGTGTTCCCCTCCCCATAGAGCTTACTCTATTGGCAGAAAGAGACAAACAATAGGCAAATGAATATACAAACATATACCATAAATTCAAGTAGTNTCAAAGAAGGACATAAAAACAGGCAGTGTAAAACTAGTAACAGCAGTAAATTAACAATGTGCCATTCCAGAATGCAATTCATAAAAAGTTAGGTCAATTCACCAACAAACAGCTTGTCCTTAGCAAACATTTCCTTTTCCACATATTTCCTATAGTGATTTCTTTAGCATATTTAAACAGCATTCAAGCAGTTTCCTTAACATATCTAAAGAACAATNTTACCTTGACTTTTTTCCTGGGGTCCCCCAAACACAGCATTGTATGAAGAGGGTCAACAACTTTGATATGCATAGCTGACAGCTGAAGGGTTAACTGCTGATTAAAACAAAGACAGTTTTGGGGCCAGCCCGGTGGCACACTGCTACAGTGCGCCGCTTGAGAGCGCGGTGGCACTCCCGCTGAGGGTTCGGATCCCACATACAGACCGGCCGCTCACTGGCTGAGCGAGGTGCGGGCGCGACACTGAGGGTTGCGATCCGTAGCCGGTCACG